CCTTAAAAAACTAAAAATAGAACTAACCTATGACCCAGCAATTGTACTAGTTAGGTATTTAGCCGAGGGACAGAGGTATGCTGTTTCAAAGGGACACATGCACCCCAATGTTTACAGCAGCACTATCAACAATAGCCAAAGTATGTAAAGAGCCCAAACGTCCATTGATAGATGAATGGATAAAGAAGATGTGGGGTGTGTGTGTGTGTGTGTGTGTGTGTGTGTGTGTGTATAATGGAGTATTACTCGGAAATCAAAAAAGAATGAAATCTTGCCATTTGCAACTATGTGGATGGAACTGGAGGGTATTATGCTAAGCAACCTAAGTCAGTCAGAGAAAGACAAATATATTATTTCACTGATGTGGAATTTTAAGATACAAAACAGATGAACATGAAGGGAAGCAAAAATAATAATAAACAGGGAGGGGGAAAAACCATAAGAGACTCTTAAATACAGGGAACAAACTGAGGGTTGCTGGCGGGGAGGAGGTGGGGGGCTAAATGGGCAAGGGACATTAAGGAGGACACTTGTTGGGATGAGCACTGGGTGTTATATGTAAGTGATGAATCACTAAATTCTATTCCTGAAATCATTTTTACACTATATGTTAACTAACTTGGATGTAATTTTTTAAGAAGAAGAAGAAAGGAAAAGAAAAAAGCCTAAAAAGTCAATGATCCAAGTTATCATACCAAGAATTTAGAGGAGGAAAGAAGCAAATTATTCCAAATGAAGGAAATCATAGTGATAAGAGTAGCTACTAATGAGGACGAACAAAAAATAAAGAAGAATCAATAAAGCCCAAAGTGTTCATTTTTTAAAACAATCACATTTATAAATCCTAGTCAAAATGGCCAAGAGTGGGGGGCACCCATTATCATTTTCAGGAGGGCATCACATCCTACAGACTTTAAATCAGTAATAGAACATGATGATCGATTGTATGCCAATATATTAGAAAATGTAGATGAAATGAACACAATCCCCAAAAATACAAGTTTCCAAAATGATGAAGGATAAGTAGAAAATATGTATCACCTTATGTATACATTAAATGCATTGACTCTGTGAT